CAAAAGGTTCTGTCAAAATTTTTATCCTTTTTTTGAGACTTTGAACACATTTGGAGCATTTTGAAAATCTACAGAACCTTTTCGGAGGGTTCTGTAAACCTCCTTTATTTTTTTCAGAGTAGCTTTAACTTTAGAAAACAGGAAACATACTCAAAGTTGACTTTGAATAGTAGCAATCAAGTCAAAAACTATGTTTATCTACTAGTTTTCAAAATTTAGCTAATTTGAATTTCTAACAAATTTATTTAGATTTATTTCTCGATTTAATAATTTTTTTAAAATTTAAATGTGACACTCCTAGCTGTGATCTTGATTTTAGCTTTCTTATTCTACATCATTAATAATCCTCATTCAAACGATGCGGGTATAAGTGTGGACGTTCTTGAAATGTTGATAGATGTGGGTGTGGGTGTATTTAAAATTTATGTGAATTTCAAGCTCCATACCAGGCATTGAGATCTAACTGAAAAACAAATGCGTCGCATGATAAACCCTCTTATCTACCCATCAAAAGACTAAATAAAAGGGTATATCAAGTGACGATACCGACAGTACAAAGGTATATCAAAGGGTTTATATGGTAACGATTTATAAAAAATCTTTTGAAGACTTTTAAATGCCATAAAGTTGCTATAATTTTTATTCCGTTATAGTACTAATATATACTCTTACCCAAGTTCCCTTACAGCCTCCTTGTTCTTTCCAATATTTGTTCATGATATACTGCGGAAAACAACGAACGATCTTAATTAATCTATCTATTTTGTTTTCTTCTTTTAGGAATCCATTTACACCGAACTGAGAACTTATTTGACATTTAACAAAATGTGATCTGTATTGATTTTTAAGTTGTTTTGTCTCTTCACGATTTGTTGATGACGAACATATGTATGAAAGATTGTTATATTCTACAGTCTGACAAATATAAAATCTACTCCTCTAAAACAGATATTTTATGTCACCCGGGGGAGCTAGATCGGTGCATTCATTTATATAATTGTATCATTGTAATCAAAGGATTGGCAGTTACATTTTAATTAATTCTAGATTCTCTAGGAATAAATTACATTGAATTGTTTTCACGACTAGAAGCAGTATCGATCGCGAAACTCAGATCATTAGATTCGAATCATTTGTAGTCTCTATCCGTCTATAATTATAGTCAACTACTAATTTCTTGAATCAATATAATACAACAAAAAGTAATTATATAAGTACTGATGTAAGCTGCGGACGACATTCTAAAAGTGATCCTCATAAAAATTGACAGCAAGTGTGTCGCATATGCAGTAAAAAAAAGAATTGAAAAATGTATCGTAAAATATTTCTCAATGGATTTTCTAAAAAAACAGGGCGAATCATTAGTTTTTATTTCAATAATTCAATCTGATTATCATGTGTATAACTTTGATTCATTATTTGAATCATTCTAATAAGTTACTCACCACACTCAAATAATCTCAAGGGTAACATTTGTTGCTTTCGTCAGATACAAACATTTCTTTTTCGTGCCTTGATCATTTCTATTTCATTTGATTAGATCTACAGTCAAGAACGACTGCATGCATTTAAAGTAGAAACGTGTAAGATGATAAGCATATCACAAATGAATTCAAACAAGGAACAAACTATTCTAATGCAATAAAATTAATTTTGTAATAGGATATGAGTAACAGGTGCAGCTGCTAACAGTATTTACAAGGGAACAAGAGAAAACAATGATCATCTTTATTCACTATTATTCCAACAAATATTTCATGATTGCTTGTGAATGTCTACTTAAGAAGATAGAAGATTAATATCTTTCGGCATAAATCGCCGATTTTAGAAATCTATTATTTTTTGCTGGTAGATATAATAATATGAAACGAAATCAATCTACTATCGAACCTTGTGAAAAATTTTAATTAGTTTCGGAATCTGGAACTGCGGCAAATTGAAAACAAACTTTCAAAAAATATATATAGGCTATCAAGCGATATTACAGACGATAAAAAATGTAAGAAATAATAACAGAAAATAATCACTGATAAGTTTACCATGACCATTATTGTTGTCTATGGATACTAGCCCCGTTATTGCATTTGATACACTTCGTGTATTATTCTCATCATTTAAGTGGAACATTACCAATATTGAATAAGATTTTGAATTTGAATCGAGTTGATCGAACAAAAATTGAATATTTTCGAGTGGTGCTTCGATTTCTTTGTTCTGAATTTGTGAATTAAGTTCAACGGATATACTGCGTTTTTTATAGGGTAGTTCCGACGACACACTAGCATTGATAGAAATTGCTTTTGCTCCAGTATTAGTCACTGTTTGCTTCCATGAATAGGTGCCTACGGATGGCACAGCATTTAGCGTTGTTTCATCTGTCAAATCAACGAAAAATATGGAATCATTAAAAAATTTCAAAACAACCAAAACTTGTATAGGCTACTAGCAATCTTATAACTGTATCCGAAATTCGAAATTTTTCCTCATTAGCAACTAAAGGAACTCGTAGGGGCTGACGGCATTCAATATTTTATCTGATTTCATCTATGAATGAACTTACTCTAATATTTTACAAGATTTCTTCTGCTTTCAGTTTCACTCACCCGTAGCATATGTTCGCAACAGTCGACATTTCGCTGGTGGAAAAGCACGACGTGCATCATCTTTCATAGTGGAATTTTGTTCGCACCATTCGCTGTCAAAACACGCATGATAGACTGTATCCGGAGCGAGTCCAGCGATAGTGATTGAATCTGTTGTATTCAGTTTACTCACATCGTAAACTACAATTTTATTGAACACGTGCATTCGAGCACCGACGTAGAGACTGACAGTAAAGTTGCCGGAAAATTGATCAATATCAACGCTTTCAAGTGAAGATGATGGACGCCAAACAAGTTGAATTGCTGAAGAATTAATCGACATTAGCGTACGAATTTGTGGCAGCAGGTCGTCATCAAATGCAAGATTATTACATGTGGCAGAATGCAGAAAAGTCAAGAAAAAAAACAAAAGCATGATACTACATGTGGCTTTCATTTTTAACACACACCTGAATGAGACGACGATAGAGCTGTTGAATTCCTTTTCTTATTTTGTCAATATCGTTTAGCAGAAGATTTTAACTATTGACAGTAAAAATTTGATGAATAAAAGTTAAATAAACTTTGAAACAAGTAGTTCACATACTTTTTAGACGAAGAATTACTACCAAGTTATATACATAGCACATTACTCAGAAAAATGATATCTGATATAAAAAAAAAAGCATTGCAATAGCAGAATGACAACATTGCATGAAAACGTGACGTCTATCTTACGTTGGCGTTGATGTTGTACGTCATAGAACTGACTTTGAATCAATAGTGAATAAAGCGTTATCACAGTTGAATAAATGCTCGCGTCAATAAAAGAAACTTTTATTAAACGTATCCTATTTTATGATCAATAGTTGATTTTCGAAATGCTATATAAAGTCATTATTTATAAATTTTATCAAAGATTTATCACACATCATTTATTAGGATACTATTTTCGCCAATACAACTTCACAAAGCAATATTTTCTTCTAATTATTCACTAAATTAAAGCGTTTTTTAAAGAAAATGATGAAAATTGAGAGTAATGCGTATGTGTTTAACATGCATCACTCTTCTAAACTACGTGAATGCGTGAGGTATTTATAGATCTTCTGTGGAATAATTTCATTACATGGAACCATTATTTCTAAGGTTTATTTCTGTCCCAGAACTCTATATCATGCTTCCGATGTTTTTCTTTGTATCAAGTAGTATAAATTTCGATTGGAGTAGAAGAATCTAAACGTCTTTGAGGAGTCAAAATTAGATGGTTGAAAATACAAGTTTCGAGTGTTCAGAATCCGATAGCGCCAAGGGGTTCGCAATCAAAACAGAAACATATTCGAGGGATCGCCAATCACACGGTTTTTAATGTCTGATGGTTGTCAACAAATTAGGACTCTTTCTTTTTAAGTATTTTTTGTGTACTCAAAAAACAAAAAGGGTACACTATAGAATCGGTCAGTGTGTCCGTCCGTCCGTTTATTCGATAGCTCTTCACAATTACATTCGATTGAGCTGAAATTTTGTGCACAGAATTGTCTCATCAATATCTAGGTCGAGTTCGAAGATGAGAAGGATCCGCCAAGAAATGGCTGAGTTATCGAAAAAATTGTCATTTTTGATCAGACCATCCCTGAGGGGCAGTACAGGGATTTTTCAAAAAACCTTTTTTCTCAGAATTATTCACAACATACATAAATCGACTCAGTTTTTAACGCTGATTCTGAATCTGATATTAGTTTTTGCACTAAATCGTAGCTTTCTAACGAAACATCGCCTGAAAACCGTCTCAAAATGCACAAAAACTGCATCCAGAAATCGAATTGCCTAGTTTCTCATGATAATTTTCGTGTTCAGACATTCAAAAATGACTCATGTCCCGTGCACTTTTTGCAGTACACATACCTCTCGGATGAAATCCGAAGTTTCCACATTTATATCTATTTAAAATTGAAAAATAAATTGAAACAATTAGATTATAATGTGATTGAAAATTTTCAATCAAATTCCACAAGACTAAATGCTTGATTATGTCTGTCACAAAAAAAAGCAAGAGAAAAAACATATGCAGCTTACTTATTTGAAAGTGTACTTCAAAAAGATTCACATTTTTATGAAAATATTCGCACAACAATGTTTTTCCATTCTGGCCGAATTATGTGCACTGCAATCAAATGTACTCGGTCAATTACGAGAAATTAATAAAACCTTTAATGATCCAATAGAAGTAGCGATTTAGAAATATCCTAAAGCCTTTTCTTGATCAATTCACAAAATAAAAATATGCTGAGTATGATTGAACGACATATGTAGCGTTCTGTTTTAGAAATTAATTTTTTTAAGTCGAAATATACGCATTTTTAGTAGTAGTAGTGTCAAACGTCAAAACTCGAATACCATCTAGTTACTCTATGATTTAGGTGTTTCATTTCAAATTTTATGATTCCTCATTAATCTTCACCAAACAAAGCTAATTGTGAAGTTTTGCTCAACACATAGAAATTCGTGTATTGGCATTAGTAACATTATTGTTAATTGGTTTGATGTTTGTTTATCCGTGCAATCAAATATATAACATAATGCATCATTTAGTTGCAATTATCTGTGAAATTCAACAGATAATATTTGCTCATATTCAGATAATAGACTATCGACAAAGATAGATATGGCAAGAAACTGGTGCCATTATTTTGTTTCTCTTCTAAGTTCATTATTAGGAAATTAGTTTTTTCAAATTCGGTAGAAATATGAACAGAAGTTAAGTGAAATGAAGTAGTATATGTACAAATAATCATTACTGATCTTCACCTTTCGAAACGATCTAATGTTCTGTAGCGCATAAAGTATTTCTCAATGTGCTCCGTTGTTCATGCAGTACGCCACATTTCGAACAGAAACACAGGTTCTGTATGAAGAATTCGTTCAAGTATTTGGTACTGGCCTGTGAATAATCATCGTCTTGTGAAATGCGACTATTAGGGGAGAGAGAGAGAAAGAGAGAGAGAGAAATGAGTGTGAGTGAACATCGGACTTGCGCTCTTTATTGAACTCAAACCACATTGACTGATTGTAACGAACGATTCAACGAAAGCAAGATTTCACCAACTTATACTGAGATAACTGGTTTCTGTAAGAAGATAAACCAAACTCCGATCAATAAATTCGACAATGAAGTTTTTTAACAAAGACTAGTCACATGAGTGATCATTGCTTATACGAAATCTGCTCCGCGGTATCTATGAAACTCAACGCAGATCAAATTGCAATGGTCAACGCTTAATTGGCATGAAAACACGCAACTCTGTAAAAATCGATACAGAACCTACAACAAAATAACTGTTGACAAAAAATATCTACACTTCGAGCGAACAAACATTGTTTTCAATCCGAAATCTCTATTTTCATCGCATGCAACTTTCCGTAGTACAAAAGAATCGTGCCATAAACAAAACATTGCATAATGTTCAATATTTCACCAGCAGGATGTAGGTATGTACTTCCATCCAGATTCATTCATTGGCATCCATCTAATGAAAAGAGAAAACTGAATTTTGTTTTTATTCAAATAATTTAATATCGGTCATTTTGTTAAACTCACAAGAACTAATTTTTCTAATATCTTATTGTGTTTCAATCCAAAAATATATAGTTACGGATTTTCCATTCAAACATTTGTCCTACGACGAGATTAACAAGTTCTTAATGCATAGTCGATGATTCAAATTCACGGAATATTAAAACTGCATGAATTATTGTGATCGAGAATTTTTTTTCCGGCAGAGGGAAGGAGTGATCAAGATCAGATATTGTATTATAGGCTTGCTTCTGCATCATTCGTTCATTGATTGCAGCGTATTGTTTCGAATGAATCACAATTCACTTATTATTTATTTTATTTACTTACTCACTTTTAGTTTTTTATGGCACTTATATTTAGAGCTATAACATTTACAACGACGTAGTTTTAGCAAAAAGTTTCAGTAGCATTCGTTGATAAATAATTCTCGCGTGAAAAATTCTATTGCTGTTTTCAGATAGAATATTTCATTTCTAAAAATTAAATTATGGATGAAACATTAACCGACGAAGACAAAGCATCAATTGCTCGACGTTTTATTGTACATGCACCGCCAGGAGAATTTAATGAAGTGTTCAATGGTTAGTAGTGAGATTAACTTATAGAATTTGGTTTATCAAGAAAAAAGATTCTTTTTAGATGTACGAACACTATTGAATGATGATTCATTAGTTCGACGATCAGTTTCACAGTAAGTTACTTGTATAATAATCCAACGCGTGTTATGAGGAAATTAATATCGATACGAGATGGTTTTATCAACATTCTTACCTACAAAAATAGAACAAATAGTGGGTGTAGATGTGAGTAAAAAATGAATAAGGAGAAAACACTGAGGAGTAATGACAAAATTGCGTCTTCTAATTTATCAAATCTGAACAAAAAACAGTATTTCCTTGTTAACAGTGATTTTTCTTAATATAGTAACAATTCTATTAGACACGTATCCATCTGTTATACCAAGAAAAAATGTACAGCGCCTATTTCCACATAGATACGTTAGATATTAATTTGAGTGTAATTGATTCACTAGTTATAAGCTAAAAATCTGCATTATAATCACTGCACTATTCAATTTTTAGAGCTTTCTCTGAGTACAATCGGGATCAATATATTCCAACGAAAATTCAAAATTCAGAATATGATTGTCTCGTAACGAATGCCAACGATCTAGGTGACGGTCGATTTTATGATCCACGTACAAGACAAAGTTTTAAGTATGTTTAATTTAAAATGAATATTTTATTTTATTTTCTAAAATAATCTAGATATGATCATTTACGTCATGAGACATCGGACTATGAACATTATGAGCCAGATGAAAAATCCGAAACATGGCGTTTAGCCTTTGAAAAAGAACTTACAGGCTATATTAAAGAACGGTACACATATGGTGCTTGTACAGTTATTGGCAAGAGTAACGACGATAAAATTACACTTACCGCTTTTGTTGAAAGTCATAAATTTGAACCGAAAAATTTTTGGTAAAGAATTTCAGTTTATTTATTTATTTGAGATTTAAAGATTTTCATTATTGTGATTGTTTAGGAATGGACGTTGGCGATCGAATTGGTCATTGACTTTAAGTAAACGTCAACCTACATGTGAATTAACAGGAGTTTTAAAAGTTCAAGTGAGATAATAATAAAAAACAAGATTTCGATGACTTTCAATAACTCCTTTTATGTTTAAGGTGCACTATTTTGAAGATGGTAATGTTCAATTGGTTAGTAGTAAAGATATCACAGAAACGATTCAAATTCAAGTATGACTTCTATTTGTTTTTTTTTTTTATGTAACTTGATTCATTATTTTATTTTTCTAGAATGAAATTACAGCAGCTAAAGAAATCATTCGGGTGATACGCCAAGCAGAAGACAATTATCAAGTACGTAAAGCTTAATCTCATATCAGCTTACGATAAACACAGATGTTGTTTATTATGAAAAGGCAAACTTACAGGAGTTACGCTATGCTTTCTTTTTTAATCTCAATTTTTTTACTTTATGTGAATTATATTTTTAGCAAGCTGTTAATGAAAACTATCAAGCTATGTCTGATTCAACATTTAAAGCATTACGTCGACAATTACCAATAACAAAAGCTAAAATTGATTGGGCTAAAATTATTGCATATAAAATTGGATCGGAACTTAAAAATAGTTAAAGATTATTCTCTAAATAATTTAGTTCTATGTGCTCAATACATCGATATGATTTGTAAATAGAGATGAATTAAATTTACGAACTCTTGGTGTTTTTTTTCTCGAATATTCTCTAAGCTTTTCTTTGTGTGTTTATTGAAGTGTATAATTATTTACATTTTATATTATATTATATTGAAATATATTCTATAAGATAGAAAAAGCTTTTATCATTATTGTTCTTACGCAAAAAATCTAGGAATAATATTTTGTATCATCAAAAACTGATTGGTGATTTTCTTTAAAAAATCATGCTACATCTCGGTATGAATTTAATCTATACGATGGAACGCTAGGAGAATGGCAGCGACATTCGATTTAATTACGCTATAGAAACACAAATATCTATGATAATGTTTTAATGAAATCCCCACGCTGTCACAATTAGTTGGCTTTGATTAATTCACGAAATACTTGTGGGATCACCCATCACAAGTATCAGAAAAAGTGTTATAGGAATATTTGAGTCATACGTCGACACTCTCGAAAATACCCCACTCGTTCCATAGTAGTTTGTTAAGTGTTGTAATCGCATCTGAAGCACTTGCGTTGCTTTTCTACTTCCTCGGTGAGCATAGGGACATCTATCTAAACAGACGTAACCAATTGGATGCGTCCTTGTCGCCTCTAATTCCATAATAAAAATAAAATAAAAGAAAAAATAACTGCCTGATTCTACACGAACTGACTAAGTAAAAACAACCTTCTCGTTTCCCATCATTCATTGAAGTCAATTACTCTACCAATAGGACAATCATAAAAAATTAAATGATTGATTAAAATTTCGTTTAGATATGTCTGAAGAAACAACAAATTATCTTTGGGCAGTACAAGATATACTGGGACATGGCGCTACGTCAAGTGTATATAAAGCATATAATAAATCAACTGGTGAATTAGTTGCTGCTAAAGTTTATCAAGTTTCATCGAGTGCTCGTACGCCTGGTGGTGAAAAAGAAAATCGTAATCGAGATTATCGCCCTATATTAGATCATGAATTAGATATTCTTAAATCAACTGATCATCCAAATATTGTTCGATATATTGCATTGGAACCCGTAGTTCCCTTAGAACCCTCGCGAGCACCAGCTGATCGCGAAGCTCTTTTCATTGAATATTGTAATGGCGGAAGTTTAAATAACGTCCTTGAATTGCCTGAAAATCGTTATGGCTTAATGGAAGATGAGTTTATGCTTGTTTTTAAACAAATAACAAATGCATTAAAATATTTACATACGAAAAATACAGTATGAAAAATTGAATAGAGGGTCGAAAAACGCTTTTTTTCTGCTATATTTAGATTCATCGTGATATTAAACCGGATAATATAATGCTTTCAATTAATATCAATGGTGAACGTACATATAAATTAGCCGATCTAGGCGTTGCTCGACTTATTAATGAAGGTGAAAATGCGTTTACAACACTTGTTGGAACCGAAGAATATATTCATCCGGATTTATATAGGTATGAAACTATTGAAAACGAATTCAATATTGTTTTTGTCAATGTATGCGTGTCTCATTGTATGTCGGAGTACTCAACCATGAAATACCCAAAACATCTATTGCATTTTTTTAGGAACATTTACGTTACGCATTTACTATGCAATATTTATAAAGGAAGATTTTCAAGCGTTGAATCGCTTTAAAGCATCTTTGTTTTAAACATTTTTTCTACTATCGCCAATTATGATAAGAGACTTAGCTCGTATAAAAACAAAAACGAATTTCATATCGATGTGAAACTATTTTATTATGAATTACTCTCGTTCATCAAACACAACGTTACTAACACAGACGTTTCGACTGAATCGAGACAAATATAATTTTGTTTTCTTTCTTCTTACAGAGCTGCTGTACATGATAATAAAACAAATGCTCTACGAACAGCTTTACAAACTCGTGTGGATTTTCCATTTGAAGTTGACCTGTGGTCATTGGGTGTTACACTTTATCAGTGTGCAACTGGTTTGTAGTAGCATTATTCTTTTTTTTTTACTTAAACTACTCCATTCCATATTACTTAAGGCGAACTACCATTTCAACCATTTGCCGGTACACGAAAAGATCGAGCTGTGATGAAACGCATTTTAGATACAAAACCGGCAGGATGTATTTCAGGTAAACGATTTTTATTTATTCAATAGAAACAAGTTTTGTTATATTTGAAAATAGGCGTTGAAAATAGTCCTGGTGGAGATATAAAATGGTCAAATTCTTTACCGGAATCATGTCGTTTGTCAAAAGATTTAAAGAAAGAATTAGAAAATCTATTACGACGCGTCATGGAATCTGATAGAAATAAATTGATGAGATTTCGAGAATTCTTTACAGAAACAGACCGAATCTTTAATTTAATGCGTATTTATTATTTAAATTTAAAACGTTTTACATTAACATGTAGTTATTTCGTACCAACACAATCGATAACTGAATTATTTGATCAATTACGAAGACAAAATCGAGATAACAATGATGAAGAATATTTTTGTCTTTTTCAAAAGTAAGACGAACTCTATAATAGTTTCATATCGAGAGAAGTCACTGAATTGGGTGTTTTTACCTACGCGATTTCGAGCTTACTTTAATCCTATACTTAACTAATCAGTAGGAGGATTCGAAACTTGAAATAACTTGAAATAAAAACATTTTTTAGTATGCCGTATCCAATATCAAAAACAAAACCGATGTCAATAAAAACATTTTGTGAACAATTACCGATCCCAACATCACGCGAAACTCCACTTGTATTTTATACATTTTCTCCAATTGATATCAAAGATTCGTATTGTCCAACGGTTTTTATACCTGATGTTAAATCTATTCGACAATATAACGATGTTGCTGCGGCATACGATTGGAGTAATGATATGGTTGGAAATTTCTTTTATTTAAAAACTCAACTAATTGAATATCAAAATATTTTAAAAACAGCTCAATGCTCAACAACAATAATGCAACAACAGTTGAAATCGAATTTACTGGAATTTCTTTGTTCGATTCGTTCGAAACTTATTGTTTTTCGTGCAATTGAAGAATTAAAATATATTCTTGACCAAATGGATATTAATGCAAATAGTCAGCCACCAGCATCAAATAACGTCTCAATGAGTTCTAATAATGGTAGCACTGCATCGGTAAAAATTATACAACCAGCAAATGGAGAAGCGCCATCTATTGGATTTTCACATTTGTATAATAATTCAACGTCAAGTGAAAGTAATAGTTTATCACCGGGTAAGTTTATATTTCATTTATGATATTGACAAATTATTTATGTTCTGTAGCATCACCACGTCGTACATCGACTGCATCGCCTATGCAACTGATTCAACAGAGTATACGTATTTATCTACGTTCATATCATCAGCCATATGAACAAATAAAAAAATGCGAACAAGATATATTGGAAATAATCGAAAAGCAATTTAATGGTAAACTGGGTATGATTGATGATCAACAACCATTTGATAATACACTCTGGTCACCACATTGTACAAAACCTTACTCAGCATGGGTTCAACGCGCTGATAAATTTCTTAAAGATCTGAATGATCTTAACGATAGTTTTCGAAAAGTAAGTTGAAATGAATATTTTTTGAAATATTGAGTACATTCAAAGGCAACGAGTTAGAGAAAATACAAGCTCAAAAAAATAAACTAAGAAAACATTAAAATCTTATTTTTTTTTAATTTGAAAAAGAAAATAAAGAATCAAATCTCGTCTGAACTGAATTGAGATACCAGATTCAAATCGACTTTTCTTAATCTCATCAAGATTTATGTGTAGCATAGATATTGGATTAAATGGTGTTAAGCACTTAGGTATGTTTTTTTTGTGACGCATGAATCTATTGATTACTTAGGATCATCAGACTCTGTTTTATTGCTTTCACCCAAGACTGTTCAGTGTAGAAATTATGAACCATAATTTGTTATGAAATCAAAATAAAAATTTCAGAATATCTTTCGAACAACTTGGCTACTGAAAAGACATATCCGCGATTTTCATCATCACAATGGCAGCTTCTTTTTGCAATACACTATAAAGCAGCATGATTTTGCACGAATTTGAAGTATCCATAAATATAAGACCATTCTTTTCATCAAGAGAAGGGGCGAAAGAATTCAGAACACATAGCTCTTGCAAATCGTACACTATTCACAATAGTAAAATGTTTCCCAGCTAATAAAATTCTTAGTAGATATTCTGTTCGATGATTTTTTTAAAATCTGCCTCACCTCAGTTAGTATGATTAATGTTCGTTTTGATAAGAATTTTGATTTAAAAGTGCAAAAACTAAATTTGATATATTTTTTTTGCCACGATTCTAGGACCGTTTGTTAAGTACATACAATCGTTTACAAAGCGATTCACATTTTCGTCGTCGAAAAAATCTGGAACAACTTCACGATCAATACGTTCATTTTATCAATGAAGAATGTACCCCAAATTTAGCGCAAGTCTATAATGATTATAACGATTGGATCTTGCTACGTTCGAATCTCATAAAAGATTATCGATCGATTGGAATATTCTATGACAAACAATGTGATGATATAATTCATTATGTTGATTTACTCGAAGATGTTCGGACAGTTGTTTATAAAAATATTCGTGAATTAGGTGGAACAGCTTCACCTATGACAATACCAAATGACTTGCTTCAAGCTCCACTGTTAGGAGTTCGCATGAATTTAAGTCAAAGCAGAGAAGACGGAAGTACTCATCAACAGCCAATGGTAATTGGCGATGAAGACAATAACGATGAGAGCAGTAAAAAATTTATGGATAAAGTACTTGGCACAACGAAGAAAACGATTCACCACGCTGAAGAAGGTTTCCTTCGATTAGATACTGCTATAAGACAAATTCGTACGAATATACACAAAAAATAAAATAATTCATATTTATTTTCTCTTTGTATTTGCCTTTCTCTCTCTATATATATATACAATCTTTTTCTCTATCGATATTCCTTTAGTTGTCCGGTGAGTATTATGTTTATTGAGATTCTTAGCGTGACTGTTCGTACAGTGTAGTAATTATTCATTTTCGTTTCCTCTTTATCTACGTCAATGAAGAGAAAATGATGATGCCGTTTGTTGTGTTCGTTTTACCATATATTTTATTTCAAATATTTCATTCTTCTTTAAGCTTAAGCGAGAAATAAAGAAGAAAAAAAAATTTCAGAATTTGTTGTGTTTTCTCTTACGATGGAATCAATATTCAATGTAGTAAGTTTAACATATATGACAATTCTAATCTTAACCATAAAACAATAGGAGTGAATTTGTCGTATCGACGGCGGTCACTCGATATAGAAAAGACAAAAGGTCTTCGAGTTTAGAAAGATTCGATTTTGAATAAATTAACGGGTTAATTTTTCCATTTGAGTTATTAAATGATAATCCGTCTGTTGTCACGTCTTGCTTTGTCTAGACTTTTTTCCTGAAATAACCTCAGCACTTAATCTCTCTATATATCCGATTAGTCAATCTGGATCGATAAACTCACATGCCTTTTGCGAGAGAACTCGAGGACTTTTGTCTACTAGGTTAATACACGCAAAGCAAGATGTTTTTATTTAAAACAGAACCGGAATGAAAATAAAAAATGACTTTGTTCCGGTCTAGCTGCTGATAGTGCAAACATCATTAACAAGAAAACAATGTTATATAGAGAACTTCCTAGAATTACAAATATTTTGATGTCGATTAAAAGAAAATTTATTTTTACATTATAGATAAATAACAATTATTATAATGACAACCGGTGATCAAGATCAGCATAATCATCCAGATTCTGATGATGAGGTTGCAGCAGGCCATGGTTATAAAGCTCCGCAAAAAGTTGACATTGGCTCCATTGTAGCTAAAGATGAAGATGATGAGTCTTTAACGCGTTATAAAAAACTTCTCTTAGGGAATACAACTGATGGAAAACGTGTAGAAAATCTAGTAATTGATCCGAATGATTTACGTATTGTTTTACCAGTACGCATAACGATTCTATTTGAAAATCATAAACCCGATGTAATATTTGATTTAACTGGTTCTATTGAAAAAGTACGTGGTCTACATTCGAAACGTTCAGTTGTTATTAAAGAAGGCGAAGCTTATCGAACACAATTCGAATATTATGTTCAACGTGATATTGTGACCGGTTTAAAGTTAACAAATAAAATTGTAAAAACACGTATTACAGTTGATAAATCAAAATATATGATTGGTAAGATTTCGCTTTAGGGTAAAAAGTCTAAATTTTTCAATTCCTATCTTAGGTTCAAAAGCACCTAACAGTGAATTGCAAAGCTATGTGACTGAAATTGAACAAGCGCCAAGTGGTATGTTATCGCGCGGAACATTTTTAGTTAAATCAAAAATTATCGATGATGATAAAAATATTTTTGCCGAATGGGAATGGCATCTTGTCATTGCGAAAGATTGGCAATGAGATTTTTAATTTTAATTGATAAAATATGCTTGATAATAACATTTTCTTTTTCTTTTTGATTCAGTTTTGTACGTGTCCATGACTTGTTTTATGTGATACTAATATTTTCGTTTTCTTTCTTTTAAGGTGATTTTTTACTATCAATCTTAGCGAGAAAAAAATATTCCGAATGGATTATTTTTGATTTCATGTTTTGTCTGCTTTTACTTTTAAGATAAAAATATGCTGTTCGAAATCGATCATTTTCTATTGGAATTATCGAAATTATTTCAACAACAACGCATTAAAAATGCCGGTTCATTATCATTGACGATGAAACGATACGACGGACGAACTAAACCAAAAACACAATTAACAAAAAAACAAAGACTCGAACAGAAAAATATTAAGTCTAAAGTGTTATCATCATCACCATCAACAACGGCATCAAATGACTCGATTGAATATAAGTGTCTTGTACGTGCAATATATGGCTCAAAAAAGCTATCCACTGTTGTGTCCAGTAAAGATATGAATCGTTTTCAATTAGCTTATGCAAATTTATTAAAAGCGAATATGGATACACTGAAGAAAAAAGCGAAAGAAAGTAAAGCAACGACACCAGGTCACACATCGACTAGTATGAATAATAACAGTCCATCATCACCGGTGTCTACACAACAAAAAAAAGCATCAACAACACCAAACAAAAAGAAATAAGAATTATTTATTATCATGATTCATGTTGTTGTTATTCTTTTTTCTCGTTCTGTTTTGCTTTTTAAATTCGTGACCATGCGGGAGGGACATGAAAAAAATTTGATGCTTTTGTTTTCTTGCCAAAGGATGAATAGACAATTTTTTATTGGTTATTTCACAACGTATTATTTTTGATTGCAACTTCTGTTCGATGTGTCTTGCGTTTCTTATTCTTTTTTTTGATTTCCTTTGGGTAAATTATTTTTATTCGATCGCCGCGAAATACAATGACGAAGTAGATCATCTATTGTAAACAGAAGTTAGGTATAAACGACAACTCGTGATAGATCCATAAAGTATATAATGGGCTGTCTCTTGTATAAAGTTATGATTAGAACTTTCGGCGAGATATTCTTGAAAACAAGAATATTTTGCCTTTCGATAGATTTTAAACATGCCTGGAAAGTTTCAGTTGAATACATTAAATACCGAGGAGAACTTACTTCGGATACCATCAGAAAAAAAAGTCATATTTGCATGCCAATTTTGGTAATAACAAGCGAATGAGATTATCATTTTGACAGTCAACAATAACAAAATATTAAATTCGATATGCAAAATGAAATTTAGCTCTTTTCAGGGTTTTAAGTCTCTGGAATCTTGACACCGGGATTAATATTGCAATCATATCTGTTCTACTCAAACCCAAATTTCATCATTCACGTGGCTGGAAATTTCATAATATGTTTCTAGATATAAAACGTAATGCAATCCGAAGTGCTTCTTCATTGGCTTCGACAATTGACTGAACCAGATACTGAAAAAGTCAAGCAAGCAACAAAACAACTACAAAGTCTTTCATTGACCAATGATTTTCTTCTTCAATTATTTCATATTCTTCGTTCGGAACAAAACGATCAGATACGTATACTAGCATCCGTATTATTGCGTCGGAAACTATCAAAATCATCCGAAACGATTACCAAAGATGTTCATGAAGCATTGAAACATCTTTTACTTGAACAAATACAGATTGAAGCAAATCAACGTATACGTAAATCGCTGTTTGAACTAATTGGCACTATCGCTAAACAAGATTTACAACATGAAGTAGTTGAAAAGAAGAAAAAAGGCAAAAAACCCAATAAAACTGAAACAACTGGCTGGAAAGAATATCTTCATCTATGTGGTACACTTGTTCAATCAACGGATTTAAAACAACTCGAATTAGGCATGCATCTTTTTGGTACATTGGCGACCTACTGTGGACGATTCGTACTTGAACATTGGCCGCATACATTTAATCTTATAACATCAATGTTAAAAACAAGACCATCGCCAACTGTTTGCGAGCAAGCTTTAATTATTTTAGTAAATCTCGTTAAAGAAATTCATCAAAAACAATATATGCAAACTATCATTGATCTGGTGCCAATTGCTAACGAAGCCATACAGTATCTTTTTGTTAATCTTACGGTAATTGAAAACCCATTTAGAAAATGATTCATTCATTTTTAGCTTACGTTGCTCATTTTTGACTAGGCTGAAAATACAACAAATCTCTTGGATTTTTATGAAGCATTACTCGATTGTGAAGTACCAAATGTTATCGGAACACATCTTCAAAGTATAATATCAACATGTCTTCAAGTAATATTTATTTATCTAGCTAAATTTCTTTCTATTGAATTATTTATTGAATAGATTGCTTTAAGAAATGACAGTAGTGTTCTTGAATCTGTACGCTATAATGCACTAAGTATACTGGCTGAAATTTGTCGACAAAAGAAAAAAACTCTATTGAAACATCAAGAAATTCTTCCACCGATTATTCAAGCCTTACTTCAAATAATCAGTTCAGCAGCTGTCGATCCTAATACTATTGAGGATGATGACGATGACGAGCCTGTTGTTGTTGCTGGTGCTAATCATGTCCTGGAAGCTATGTCGTATCATTTATCGCCGGAAAAATTTGTGCCATTAGTGGTGAGTTTTATTTTTTTAGGAAATTTTCGTTGAAACATTTTTTTTTAACATAGATTTCACAAGTTGAGCCGATGCTGAAAAGTAGCGTTGCAAATGAACGTAAAGCTGCTTATTATGTTCTTTCGGGTATAATCGATGGTTGTTGCGATTATATTAATAACAAGTAAACATAATGTTCTTTTCTTATTGCTTTAAAAAAAACTCATTTTGATACATTTTAGTTATCTTGAACCGTACATGACAGCACTTAAGCTTGGCCTACGAGATGTTAATTCAGATGTATCAAGTGCAGCTCTTTTAGCATTAGGCGAAACATGTGCTGTATTAGAAGTAAATTATCAAATTTTTATGAATTTTTCATTTTCAGCTGTGATTTTTCTATCAATAGGGTGAAATTTCAAAATATTCAGTAGAAATTTTACCTATCCTAATGGAAATTATGGTTCAACCAGACAATATGCAAAATCATAATCTTAAAGTGATACGAATTTATTATGCTGTTGAAGAACTCATTGGAGTTTTGAGTAAGTTTTAATATACGAGCAATGCAAAAAGATCTGCATAGAGTTATTTCTTAAGAAAATTGACTTATTCCATGCTAGAGATCGAAGACTGAGCTTTTCCATTGAAGTTTCTAAAGTAACCAAATTCCCTTTTGACGATAAAATTCAGATTGCAAACTACTAGCGTGGCTTAATGCTAACCGTTCACAATTGCTTTATTTTCCTATTACGTTTTATTGACCAATACGCTGGCTAGTCATCCGTCATAAACATATAAAAAATAAATGCGGAAACATCGGATTCGTATCCGATTGTTATGTGTACTGCAAAAACTGAGTCGATTTATATATGTTGTGAATAGTTCTGAGAACAAAATTTAAAAAAAAATTCCTGCACCCCCCTCAGGGATGATCTGGTCAATAATGACAATTTTTTCGATAACTCAGCCATTTCTTGCCGGATCCTTCTCATCTTCGAACTCGGCTGAGATATTGACGGTATCATTTTGTGTACAAAATTTCATGGCAATTGGATGAGGCTTTCAAAAGTTATCGTGTTAACGGACGGACACACTGACCAAATCTAGAGTGTACTCACTTTTTGAGTACACAAAAACAGTATGATAACCCTCTGACTCTTATCAGACACAGCCAAACTACTTTTTGGCCAACTCAATGAATACGAACTTAAATCAATATTTCGTTCTTTAAATTTAGACGACGAGCATAAAGGAGTGATTCCCGAAGTACTTCGCGTATTGTTTCACGTACATGCTTCAACGACGAATACAAAAATTCGCGAATTAGTATTAGCTGTTTATCCAGCAATTGGTAATTGTTCTATAAAATTCTCATTAGAAATTTTTCATTCGATGTTTTCTACTTCTAGCAATAATGATGAAAGATAAATTTGCTCCGTATCTCGAACCGGTTATAACTCAAATTTCACCTAATCTAAGTCAAAAACCCAATACAGAAACGTTACCGGTGTTTTGCACATCGCTTCGTAAGATTTTCTTTTTGTTTTCTATCATTGACATGACAAAAACGAACTGAATATATTAGATACGCTGGCTTCACTTTGTCGCGCAGTTGGAACTGATCATTGCAAAGCAATATTGCTGCAAGCATTAGAATTCTCACTTAATTTATACACGGAAATCGATGAACCTGAATTTCGTTCAGCTATGTAAGAAAATGCAAAATATTGAAAAACGATATTTTAATTTTTTCTTTACCTAGTTTCGCACTTGGTGGAGCAGCTAGTCGAGTATTAAAAAATGAGTTTAGTGCAGCTCATGTTAGTAAGATCATGGGATACATATTTGAATCTCTCCGATCGCTTGATTGGATTGAAGTAATGATAATTTATTTTTTTGAAAATTAAGTAATTTAAAATGAAAAACATTCATGTAGGATGCTACAGCAACAGAAAATCGTAAATTAGAATGGGTTGATGACGAGGAAATTGATGGTGCATCGAACGGTATCAATGATGAACCTGAAGGAAAAGCCGAAAAGGATGATGACGACGATGACGACGACGACGATGATGATGAACGGTAGAGAAAATTATTTACATTCTAATCTTACTTTCAATATTTTAGGATGACTTTTGAAAATGCTCATGTCGAAGAAAAAGCAGCTGCCACAGAAGCATTGGGAGATCTGGTCGAAAATTGCATGTAAGAATATTTTAATAGTGATACAATTCTTTTTTTCCGAACAATTCAAGAGTACAGATACGGAATTTAATATAATCCGTGAGTTCGGGTCTAGTGGTGTGACAAAGGTTGATCGGAATGGGCTTAATTCCCTCTGAAATAAGTAGATTTATTATTCTGAGCTTCTCTCTCTTTCTCTGTCTCTCTCTCTCTCTCGTTTTCTTTTATTAATTCATTGCATTCATCAACGAGCTTGATAATTATTTTCCCTAAAGGATTTGATGAGCAATCGTATTTAAATTTCTTTAGAGTCTCTGCTTGGCCATATCGAAAAGATATAATTGAATATATCAAAAATATGTTAGAATTTCCAAATGTTCTATGTTCACAAAATGCAGTAACAGCTGCGGGCAATCTTCTTATATCTATTCATAAGATGGTTTCACAAACACAACTATCAAATGAGAAACAACTTATTCAAGATGGTACGCATACGAGCTGCATTTTGTTGTTTTCTATAAAAACAATTTCTGTTTCTTCAGAATCAGATCGTTTAATAGCTGATTTGATACCAAATTTATGTACCATCATAAATACAACAGCAAGTCGTTCATTGGCACAAATAGCACTTGACACAATAAAAAGCATCCTAGAAGAATTTAAAGTAGATATGCTTAAGCATATGGCATTGTTTGAAAAAATTGCTCATTCGGTTCAAAAAGTTCTTGCTTATAAAGTAGGATTACAAAATGGTGGCAAAATTCTTTTAGATTTTATAATTTTTTTTTCTACAGACTAAATGCCAACAAGAAAGTGATGAAGACAACGAAGAAAACGGAGGTGGAGAAGGCCGTGATCAAGATGGCCGAGATGATGCTGAATATGATGCTATGTTAATCACGACTGGTGGCGATCTTTTACCAGTACTAACATCGATTGCCTGCGCTGGTAATGTTCAATTTTTTCCTGGTTATCTGGCATCGGTTATTCCGAAATTACAAAAGCGACTTGTATGTTTTCTAATATTGGAAAGGAACTATTTTATTTTATTGTCTATAGAGACATCAAGCAAGTGTATCTGACCGGTCGTTTGTTATTGGCGTACTTGCTGAAACAGTACAAAATATGAATGAAGCATTGCTTGCCCCATATTTACAATCACTTTTTACAAGTAGTTACACTTTGGAAATCGAAATAATAGAAAATACAAAGAAATTTTTCTAGTGTTTCATCAATATTTAATTGACGATGATGATGAAGTACGAACAAACTCATGTTTTGGCATGGGCGTTCTTTGTGCATTAGCTAATCAACATCTGATTGGCCAATATGAAACTATATTAACTCGATTATCACACGTGTTGGTGAAAGAAACGCATCCACGTATGATTGATAATATCTGCAGTTGTCTTTGTCGAATGATTGTCGTTTCGCCACAACATGTACCACTTGAACAGGTAATTTTTAAAATAGCGCTCATTCAATAGAAAGTTTCTGAGACTTTTTAATATTCTGTAGTAAATCAAAGACTACTACGTTGAGGATAATGGCCGATAGCGCATCGCTTTTCTTATAATTAGGGCTTGATGAAAATATTGCGGATTCGTTTGCATATATGGTTATTTTAACTACCAGTGGAGCAGCTATTCATTTCAGACTTTGCTTACAGGCCGATCTTGTGAACAATAGGCTATTCTAAAACATTCTGCTATAACTGAATATGAAAAAACTCACCCGTAGAAAAATTATAGACTCATCTTATTTCTACGAAATTTTAATGACAACTAAAATATGCCACCGAGCGGTGCCTTTGGCAGTTGAATATCCGCTTACTCGTGATCATTAGAAATTATGTTGATGTCAGGGAGCTATTTATTAATCGTACGGAAATGTTTAGCCAATCTAGAAATCGATCAGCACGTTCTTACCTTTTAACTAGCCTGAGCTTATGTCTGCTTCAGATAGACTCAAAGGTCTACCGGGATCTCTAATAGCAACTTGAAGATTATTTGACGCAGATATTGAATAAAAATGAGCTAAATCTATTTTTCTTTTCTTTAGGTTTTGCCTGTCCTATTTCAACATCTACCACTTCGTGAAGATTTTGCAGAAGCTATTTCTGTATTTACCTGTCTCAATCTACTCTACGAACAACATTTCACCCAGGTATTATTTGCTTTGATCATCATAGAATAAGCAATTTTTTAAAATCAATTCATCTTACTAGATCGAGTCATATCTTCCTAAATGCATCGAAATGGCAGCATCAATTATTGACGATGAACGTGTTCTACCAGGTAAACTCAATAAAAAACAGCGACTCTTTTTTAAATATTTTGCAACTCATGTTGACATATATAGAAGCTGTGCCAGTGATTCGCGAGTTTCTTCGTTCAATCTACGCAAAGCACAGTGTTGCTTTCGTTCAAGTAATGCAAACACTCAACGAACCATTACGTGTTATTGTTACAAAACATCTTCAAACAAATTAACAGAAAAGAAACGATTATTCTATTGTTAATCAATCTTGTTTTTTGTTATTTTGCTTTTGTTTTCACTTGAAAAGAAGAAAATAAGACAAAAGAAAAGACCTTATTATAATCCGAAAAGGAAATAAACAATTTCGTTCTATCTAGAATTAATAGGACAACATAACATTTATGCTGGATGCAAAGGTGAACGACTACAGATCTATAGACATGTTTCAGGCCAAATATATTGCTGTTGCTTTGGATGAGCAGTCGATTAAATCTTGCCTGATCCCGGATTAGGGAGAACTTTTTAGAATTCTTTTTTACTAAATCTAAGGTTTGTGCTGAGATAAATGAGGGTATTTACATTTTCGTTGGAGATATCAGTTGGATTGTAAAGAAACAATGTGCCCTGCAATTCTCTATATAAATACAGCCGCGTGGGTGGCTAAAATAAAGAAAAAGATGAGCAAATAATAATCTGTATCATCAACTTAAAAATTTGGTTTAAAAAGCCTTTTTGCGAATTTTATTTCTTAAGACTGATCACNAAACTATTTCGTTCTATCTAGAATTAATGGAACAACATAACATTTATGCTGGATGCAAAGGTGAACGACTACAGATCTATAGACATGTTTCAGGTCAAATATATTGCTGTTGCTTTGGATGAGCAGTCGATTAAATCTTGCCTGATCCCGGATTAGGGAGAACTTTTTAGAATTCTTTTTTACTAAATCTAAGGTTTGTGCTGAGATAAATGAAGGTATTTACATTTTCGTTGGAGATATCAGTTGGATTGTAAAGAAACAATGTGCCCTGCAATTCTCTATATAAATACAGCCGCGTGGGTGGCTAAAATAAAGAAAAACATGAGCAAATAATAATCTGTATCATCAACTTAAAAATTTGGTTTAAAAAGCCTTTTTGCGAATTTTATTTCTTAAGACTGATCACAAATTAGTGCTTGGATCTTTTTTTTTTTTCGAATAATTATTTATCGAGCTGTAACATATTCTTCTTTATTCTGATATAATGAGTGAAATTTATTGAATTTGAACTTTCCCATCCAATGAAAGTCATAAGTTCGTGTCCACCATTAATATTTGGTTCAAAATAGTTTCACATTATAGCGCGGGGTGGCCTTGGATTTCAAACATATTCTATCATTTAATCCGATTTATTTCAAAGGTGCAGAATCGCTAAAATATTTCTAAGAACATTTTTTGAAAGTCAATCAAGTTGAAAAACAAAATACATACGGCTTTGTTGTATGCGGCACTTACCAATCTCACATGAATCACGTATAACAGCGGATTCAATCTAGTTTCTCTTATAAAACATATATGTACCATAAGCGGTTTAGCACGCTAATGAACATTACTATCGTAGTAATATTTTCGAAGGATTATTAAACTATGTATTTCAATAATCGGATAAGCTCGTGAGATGATTTTAAATAAATAATAGGAAAATACGATTAAGAAAGAAATGAACTTGACCTTTTTCGTCCTATTTGATAGGTCATTGTTAGCCGAAGAAAAACAAAAAGAATTGATCTTAAAAGTATATGCTTTTGACTGTTATTGTAATATTTGTTTTTCCTATCATCTAAAAATCATTTGCGATTAACGGATCTTAATCTGTGTTTTATATATTAATGAAATTCCTTAGATCCTAATAATCTAAAATTTATATGATGACGTTCATTCAGATTTTTTATTTTGTCGCGCATGTTCGTTGTCTTTTATAAATATACTTTATCGGCACATGAAAACACATTCATTTATTCAAGTTCACTCGTCTATTCGATGAATCAACTAAGTAAGTGCTTCGGACACAAAATTTTCTTCCGCTATGTACTAATCAAGTGCGATGTACATAGAAAGATATGAAAACAAAATAAAACCCGTGCTCTCGTTGCTGAACGTCAGATCATTTTCATGTGTTTCATTGGTAATAAAAAATCTTAGAAATAAATTTATCTCACATTTATTAGAATAATCATGTTTCGAAAAACATTATCACACATCTGCGAAACAAATCTTCATGTCGACTGATTAAATTAAGATAATCAAAACGGTTTATCGTTTGACACGAACTTCACAGAGAGGAGATTATTTACGTCGAAGTATGAAGATTATAAGAGATGGAATTATTCCTGTCGTATATGATCATTTCCAACTCGCTGCCATTCCCGATACGTCTGTCACTGTGCAAGTATGAAAATTTCTTTTTAAAAATTTGTTCTTGACTGATATAGAAAATAACGGATAAGCATAGAAGTTTAAACTTTACAACTATATTCAGTTGATCGTATTGAATCCGTTCAATTAAACGCGTTTATAATAAGTTAGTTATATTTTTATTGGAAATACGTCATCAAATACCAATCCTATTGTTGTATAAGCGGGTCTCGTGCCACGAAATCGATAATAGATAAGATTATTCTGCTAATTTGAAAGCTAATAACAGATCAAATCTTCTATCTGCAACGTTCCTAAACTTGAGTTTCCAGAGAGTAGCGATTGAGTATTTAATCCAAAAGAATCGTATCAAAACAACAACGCTATTGTAACCTTATTTTTCGCCGGTTGCGTTCATAAGAAAGTGGATGGCGCAGTTCTTTTCTTGTCACATAAAAATACATGATGATCAAATTTGCATTCCCTTTTGTTATGGATTTTGCCGGAACACAAACGATGTCTGATCATATGTAAAGTAATTGTAAGTTCATTTTTTGTCTACTAAAAACCGGCGTCGATCTAAACTTTTAGTTTTCACATTGAACTTGCAAAACAAAATCACATATGTTCAGCATCTGTGGATTGATGAGTTTTTGTGAATTCGATTTTCGATCTTTCTAACCGATTGGAACGCAAATCTGAGAGATGATGAAGACTGGCACTTCTCTAAGATGTAATCCTTTATGTAGATTTGCCATTGAGAGATAAACAGACAGATACTGGTTACTCGAAATCATTCTTTAGATGAAGAATGAAAGAGTTCTGATATCTTGTTAAATTTAATAGGATTGAGAAATCCTCAAATAACTTATTTACTTGAAGAACGACGTACTAAATGCTGATCAGAAATCATATTTGGTGAAGTTTTCAATGCGAAGAGGATAACAAGATTTTTCAAAGATACACGATACATACCATAGCTAATCCATAATTAAACATAGAATTTTCATTTTCTCCAATTTCAATATCGATACTTATAAAAGAAAAGTTAGCCTGTAAAAAGGTACTTGTAAGGCACTTTCATTGGATATTTTTATTTGGCCTACTAATTTCTTCTTAGAAAACGAATACAAGTCATCTAAGATAGTTTTGTTTTACTGCCTAGATCTCCCGAATAGAATAATACGTTAGAATGAGCGGTAGTTGATCTAGTAGACTGCAATATTTAGAATATTTGTTTTCGTTTTGCGAATTACAGTCACAGATAACTGGTAAGACAAATGAAATGACTCTTGTCTATGGAGATGCAAAAAAACAATACTTAAAAAATTTGAATTTGCTGTTAGTTTGACCATAGTTTGATGTTCTTCTTTAAAATTTGAACTTTTCGATCAGAAAATGTGCACGCAACGCTCTAAGAGCAATCTGACACGAAGCTCGTCAGGTTATGCATACAAAAATTGATGAGCCTTATGCTCTTTTGACATTATTTTTCTGAAATCAAAGTTTAATCCTATTTAAAATAGAAAAAAAAGACTGATGCTATTTTTAGTACTAAACAAACGAGGCGAAATTATATATCAAATTATTGATAATGCTTTTTTTTGTATAAAGATATTTTATTAACTTTCCAGAAAAATAACTTTTAATTGCATAAAGACTAAGTAAGTTTCACAGCGACAGCAACTTATTTTAATCGAACGTCTATAAAAAAATTAATTACGTTAATCAGGAATTACGGGCATTTTCCCCGGAAGTAGCTTAACAAAGGAATGTTTATTATATAACTTTATTTTATGTCAGGTAGGACGGAACAGACTCGTCGTCATTCTAAGTGTAGATCAGATAAAATGCACGAACAAGTTTCTTCCTACAAGGTATACTTTCATCGATCAAAACTGTGTAATCCTTAGTCATAGACTCTTGTTAATTACTCTATTTTCATTTGGTATCGATTCGCAAGGTAATGTAATTTTATTAAAAGTTAGATACGATCTGTTGATGTGTTTTCCTGTGCCAGCAAAATCAGCGTTATGTTTTACAGTTATTTTTCGTTAACAATCATAAAATTTTATTCGTAATAAGTAGGGAGATGCGCCAATTTCAATTCCAATTTTTGGCTTGGAATTGGTTTAGAATTGGTCTGAAATCGGTATAGAATTGACTCTAAATGAATGTAGAATTAACTGAAGTTGATGGTACAATTGATTATTCTTGACTCGCAAGTGCTTGAATTTGCCAAAACTAAAACAAAGAAAGTGGAACGCATAAGGCCTTAAATCTGAAAATTGAGATTTTTATCATAAAAGCGACAACTCGAGCCACAATTAATAACATATTTGGAATCAACGCAAAAAAACTGACTCGAACAATGTATATTTTAAATACTTTAGGTAACTTCCTTTTTCTGCCGAAAATTCACCTGAGGTACTCCTCAGGGTTCAGTCCAATAATGAAACAATTACTTTTTTTTTAGTACTCAGGCATGCAATTTTTCTTATATTACTAAGCATTTTACATCCTTCATAGTTAATTACTGCTGTCCAAGTTGCTTTCTGATTAGTTTCATTTTTTGACGGAACCCTGAGGAGTACCTCAGGTGAATTTTCGGCAGAAAAAGGAAGTTACCTAAAGTATTTAAAATATACATTGTTCGAGTCAGTTTTTTGCGTTGATTCCAAATATATTATTAATTGTGGCTCGAGTTATAGATTTTATGATAAAAATCTCAATTTTCAGATTTAAGGCCTTATGCGTCCCACTTTCTTTATTTTAGTTTTGGCAAATTCAAGCACTTGTTAGTCAAGAATAATCAATTGTACCATCAATTTCAGTTAATTCTACACTCATTTAGAGTCGATTCTATACCGATTTCAAAGCAATTCCAAGCCAAAAATTGGAATTGAAATTGGTCCACCACTAATAATAAGGTTAGATGTATCTTGCAAAAATACTCTTTTGAAATTGTAAATCAAAGATGGAAGCAGATGCAGATATTTATATCAGGGAGCGTGGTGTTGGATATGATAAATTAAGTGTGTAAATTTCGAAGGAAAGCAATGCATTCTGTTCTATTAAGAAAGTCACTCTTATTTTTGTGTAGAATAACAAATAATCACATTTGTAGGCGAAATTATCAAATATTTTTTTTACATAAGTAAGAAAATTTTTGAAGCAAAGCATTTAACATAGAGAATAGGGTGATTTATTCGAACACTAAGTTTTCCGAGAATTTGTACAACCGAAATGCTACGCTTAGTATCTTATCTACAGTTGTTTTTGGGTCAGTTTTGAAGGTTTCGACACAGGTGTGAAATGAAAGTTTTACTTGGAATCGTAAGTTATTATCTCTATCATGCTAGAATATAACGAATGAGTGATATTGTACCCTTCGCAATAAAAATCGTGAATGTATCTCACTCTCATTTATTCTGTCACACCCTGAAGAAATTGTGTCACTTTAATTTTGTGTGGAACTTTTCTTATCTTTGCTTTCGCGCATAGAGCAATAGGAATCAGATATAATACAATAAAAGCGTTTTGTTGACGTTCGTTATGATAGTTTTATTTGACTTGTCTGATTCTGGATTAAAACTAGACATTTACTAGCGATAGTTCATTTAAAAATAACTGTTCTCAAGCAGTTCACCCAATTATCACAACACGCTAGGAAATGTTTTCTTTATTGATATCAGAGTTTCGATCAATAATCAAATACATGAAAATTATACGTCCATTTAATGATTCCTAATCAACGACGATCAGATCATAGTTATTAAAAGACAGTTGCCCTATACTGGAAAAAAAAAGATTACGAAATAGATCAATCGTTTGTTTCATTTATGAATGAGAAATTTTCAAAATACTTCTATCGGCTATCCATATTTCTATTAGTATGTCCGAATAGAATAAGAACTGAAATCCAGTGATTGATCATAGGAATAGAAACCCTGTTTGATTTCGAATTTCCTTTTGCTGCTATGAACTTTAAATAAAAATCTGGAACAGTTTTGTTAACTGACCTTAAATACATTTAAATCTTATTTCTAGCCATGTGACAACAACGTTGATGTCTTGTTGCAATGTTGAGTATTTTTCCGAAAAAAGCTCTAATATTTGCGCAAACTAGCGAATAAAGTTCGATATCGACTCAAGTTACAACTTCGTTCATATTTCCGATCGATGAACTAATGAAGACCTCTTAGCATTTAAAGTTCCCTAACTTTTGTTAATATTTCAGCAAAGCTGTCATTCAGCATTTTGCTTAGTTCTAATAGCAAGATTGAACTATAATTTCTTTGTTAACTGGCGAATATAACAGTACTCAATTTTACCGATATGGATAATGAATCATGGCGACCTAAAAGAAAAACATTCACCTACATTTTTATCATGAAAAACATGATTAATGTATTTACTTCGCACAATCATAGATAGATTTTGACGCTGATAGTAGTACTCAACTATAGATGACTTCAATTTTTATTTAACGTTTTCACAATATTTGTAGGACTGTGTTGAAACATTTTGCCTTCACAGGAATAAGATATATAGGGCATTCACTGTTACAATCGTATGCGTGCAGCCAGCTTTTGAACCCGACGCAGACATACTGTTAATTGAATTTTTATCACCTTATGTGAGATCCAAAGCACTCCACGCTTGTATTTATGTTAATTATTGGCACACCCCCACTAAAATTAGTTTTCTGCTTTGACATTATCAAGCTTATTGAGTAATGTTAGTTCAACCCAACTAGAATCATAATTTTGCGTAGAAAGAGAAGGGGGTGGGCAATCCGTTTTTTAACTTGGAATCTGATATTTGTTTTGCTATAGCAATATTAGGAACATAAAGGAGAACATCTACTCATTCTCGACACTACATGCTTATAAAATGTCGTGCACTTACTAATGAATTTTGCGTGGAGCGTAGTTGCGGCAATTATATCCCGATGAATAAAATACGGGGGATTTATTATTCAAGAAATTTTCTAATTACTTTCTTTTTCTTGTTTTGTTTTTTTAGTAATCAAACTTAATTAAATTTGATTTTAAAATAAAATGGGTATTCGTTTTCACTCATTATATCTTATTATTGTTCTGGTAATTTGTGCTTCAATTCAATCATCACCAATCTTGGATGATAATTCTAACGAACACGATTCATCATTGAATTTCGTCAATATGCCATCATCCATAATACAACGATCCAATTTTATTTCGCTTTTATGTCAACGACAAGAACAATTTCCAATGAAATTAAAAACAAAATTATGTTCAAACTATATTCAATTATACAATGTACAAGAAGATGATGACGATGAAGGACAACAACAACAACAGCAAGAACGTGAAAAGCGAGTTGGGTGGACAATTAGCGTTTGAAACAAAAAGTAGACATTGAAATTCATTTTTTTCGTCATTAGAAAGAAATAAAAACACAGGAAAAAAAGGTAGACGAGTTATATGAAAAAAGAAACGAAAGCAATATTACAAATATGATCTTTGCATACGTTGTTGTTGATGTTTATGCGGATTGTTGAGATGATTTCGGTTGATAATAGTCATTTGTTGATGATATTGATGGTGTTTATCCAGATTCGGATTTATAATACATGATATATGAATATCTTTCAATCTCCATAGATCACCGAGAAGTTTTCGGCAGTCACGTCGAAATGCTCGACCAGTTAAGCAATAGAGTACAAAGTTAACCTGAAAGTAAAGATATGCAAATTTTTACAAAACACCAAAATATATTTACTGTATGATTGAAATACATTAAAACCGTTAGACAAAGTTGTGTTATTTGCCAATGTGATTTCTTTTTTTGTTCAGGAAAATTGTCGAGTATTAACAAACGAATTGAAACAGGAAATGTACCAAGAACAAATATGAAAGATATTATTAGCAATGAAAGCGTTAAACGCATTCCTGTTGCAGTTGTTGAGTCGAATAGAATTCGTTGAGATTTCTGTTGAAAACCAGTTTTACTCGATCGAACATGATATAATTGACCATGCGACATAAACGTATGGCCAACGGGTGTTGATTCTATAACATTAATAATCAAATAGAATTCATGATTTAAAAAAGAATCATTATTGGTTTTTGTTTTGTTCTATTATTCTTGACTCCTTTGCTCCAGGCATTGCTGAGAAAGTTTTATGGGAGAGGCTGAATTGGCCTATTCAAGTTTTTATGACTTGTTTTTGACGTCGTGGAATTATATTATCTTATTTCAAATTGAAGTACACGATTGCTGAGAACGTCTGATCATTTTATGATCTAATTAGTCAATAATATGATTTTTATCTCAATTTGAAACAAAAAACATCTTTCAAAGTTTTGGAATAAATTCATTTTCTAAACGCTCATACCCGTAGGGTTAGCATTAAAATTTTCAAAAGTTACTATGTTCCAGTTTAAGACTTTTTTTTTTAAGTATGCTGAATTTTATTCGTGACATCCATACATTTTTCTTGTGATTTTTGTACGATTTTTGCGGACGCTTACGAAACAGGCCAACAGATAGAACTACGATAACAAACAGAGAAAGAATGACAACGAAGAGAAAACGAATAGAATGAAAATCGAAATCGAGACAGTGATGACGCGGCTGGCGTGCATTGCTGTTCTTCCTTTGTTTATTCTTTCGATACCGTATATCTTGACTTCGAAGACACCGAGTCGGCGGAAGGAATCGAACCATCTCCTGTCTGACTAAGAATCAGATGCATAGAGCCACTACACTATCCCCGGCTAGCTTAAGATTAATGCAACGAAACTATTTTAACAATTTAATACATAATTCTAATAAAACTATATGAAACTTATTAGACAACTATTAGTGTCATCAGGCTGTTTTGCGTATCCTCCTTCATAGAGAATTTTGTTTTCAAGCGTTTCCTGCGTGGCACATAAATTAACTATGCAGGAAAATTTTCTATTTTAAATTACTAACCTCCTGAACGACTTCGAAAAAACGGTGAACGATTCGATGATGAACTTTTGTTTTTTTGAACATGTTTCCCTTGACTCGTATTCGTTGTTGGCAAATAACTATTTGCTTGTAAATAATTTCGTCGTTGTTTTATCGCATAATACATAGTTAATATGATTAATATATTGAAAATAATAATTAATAATGACGGTATAATGCTATAAAAGCATAGATCAAGAGATGATAGTACACCTCTATATTTAGTCAGACTGCAAGACTTAAAATTAGGATGATAGCCGTCATGTGTTTGTAAGCTGACACGTTGAATATCCATTGTAAAAAAGCAATGGGATGTGTAAGTTGAAAAAAATAGAAGGATAAATAATGTTATACCATAGGCAACATACAAACGACATATATAAATAGATTGAAGTGGAAAACGCACAACAATAAAACGTTCAATTGTCACCGCCACAATAAGCCAAGCTGATAAATATGTAAATAAGTGTCTAATATAGGAGACAAGACGACAATAGATTGTTGACTGCAGTTCCGGCTGGTAATTAAAAGCTATATCGAACAGAGATAAAAGACCACCAGAATAAAGAACGCAAATGTCCGCAATAGCCAATAAAGCTAAATAGAAATAAGATGAAAGGCCACGACGTGAACGTCGAAACATGATTGTTGCCGATAGAATATTTCCAACTAGGCCACATAAAAGAAATACAAGTAAGATTAATGATGCTATCCATTTTTTTATTCCTTGAACACCTGGATATGGCTTTGGCAGACAATTCAACGACCGTAATAGTTCAGTATTAGTCACTTCCGTCACATTTGACAAATCACTAGATGGGGAATTCATGTAGTTGATCATACTTTCAAAGTCTTCACATGATGGTGAGCTCGATAAATGAAATAAATCTATTTTATTCGTGTTATTTGCCATAGTTTAGATTTGAATCTAAAAACAAAATTGTACTAAAATGAAAAAATAAAAAAAACAACGACAAAACTCATCTCATAATATTGATCGAGCCTTTTATCGCGGACACCGTAGCTATCTATCTATCTATTGTAAAAGGACAAAAACATACGTATTCGTCTGTCGTAGATCATTAGTGCATTGTTTTTCACTTTAGACAAGAAAAATAAATCTAATCACCATAGCTCGGCGATTGTTGTACTGATGACGAAGTACAAAACAAGAAGAAGAAGAAGAAGAAGAAGAAGAAGAAGAAGAGAAAAAAATTGTATATTTGTGCAACATCACGAAGTTGCTGGATGTGCATTTCCTCAATTTGCCTATGTATGCATTGGAAAGCTCGAGATATTGACATGAATGTTTACAAGAAACAAAAATAGAAGACTATGAAAACAATCCTTAGTGAGCTGGAATAATTATGACGCTGGTGATAACAACGCACCAGTAGTGTTCTTGTTGTTAGGTATTGTTAAGGAAAAGAACCAGAGAGACAGAAAGTCAAGAATAATTTCGAACGGTTCTATTGTAGAGAATCTAATTAGGTGAAGGAGATTCAATAAGTATAGGACACATTATTTTTGTTGAAACAAAACAGATATCTGTATTGCAAGCGTAACTGATTTTCTTCAACCGCAAAGTTATAAAAAGCTAAACATTAATAAAACAATATAGATATTAAACAACAGGCAACATACGTAAAATATACCATGAACTTCGAAAGATTTTTGTTCTAAATATTTACTTCGTTTTTTTTCTTCCGATGTTTTGCAAATAATTGCAATTCATTATCAGTTTTTCTCGAGTATATAGCATAGCTACCATGTGCATTTGCTCAATGAGTTAGATAAATAAATGTTAAATTGTGGAAATTATTCATTTGAATACATCAACAATATGCATCATTGATGACATCAATAAAAATTAGATGAATAAAAATAGGCTTATCAGATTGTCTGTGACGAGGAATGAATTAAGTGAGTAATGGGCTGCTTTTCTTCTAGGGTTATACAACTTTAAATATAGATAAATATAAAACAAGATACACGATTTGTCTATACTTGACAAAAATACAAACGATCATAAATCTACGAGTACATGCTCTATCATAAATAGGTTTATATATAGAATAAAATAGAAAGCCATTATGTCTACTATTTTTATTTCAATATGTCCTCACTTTTCCGCATTTAATATGATTCTGTTGATTCTGTTCTTTGTTAAAACTGTGACAATACTGTCAATCACTATGTACTGATTGACAACGTTTTGAATTATAACTGTTGTCAATAAATACTACGACATTAAAATGTTTAGACTCTGGTTATTGTCAAAATCAGCCAAGAGGTTCTCTTCATTGAGCTGAAATTATAGAAATTTCGGTTTTTTTTTGCCGTTTTTAATTAATCGGAATGAGGTGCTGATGGTGCATATCTCAATAACATAAAATGCACTTTTTGATTGGCAATGAACGGTTTTGTGGTAAAAAATCCGATTATTATTATAGTTAATAGATGAGTGAAAAAAAGAAATGTTGAGAAAATTCAATATGTTTTTATCAGGTTTTTAATTCAATGGAAATCTGAAAATCGATTCCTTTCTTTACGTTCTTCTATTGTTTGCTGCTACTATGTAAACGAAGACAACATGCCGCTAAGTTAAAAATATGCATGCGACGCTCGAGTGAAGAAAATTCTCTATTACTATCTGTACACATATATATTTTTTAGCATTGAGAATCAAGAATCAATGAGACAGAAAAAGAATAACTCACTGATTGAAGTGAAAAGAAGAAAAGCAAAGAAGACTCTTTTCTACAGAGTTTTACAAGTAATGTTCCCGTTCGGTTATTCATAAAACTAGGTGAAGTTAAGTCAATAAAAACAAACACAAATAGTAGCCATGAATTCTTGGGAAATAATATCATTAATCCTCAACAACAACAACAACAACAAAGGTGGATGGGTAAACCTATTGGGGGATAGCAGCGGACTTGCTTATCTACGATCATTTCATTCGTTATTAGCTAAACAAAGTGTTTCAATAACTGAACGAACCGCATAATTTATTTTGGTGAGAAAAAAATTTAGGAAATTTGTTCTTTTTTTAGTCATGCTTGGATTTGCATCTCAAGCAAAATATGGTATATTTAATGATCAAGGAGAGCAAGTCTATTGTGCATTTGAGGGTAAGAATTTTCACTAAAATGATAGATCTACTCAGCATTGATATGGTAAGTATCAATTGTTGGAAACATTCTTGAAGTCTAATTTTTTCTAACACACAGAACTCAAAAACCAAGATTTATTCGGCTTCAATGGATCCATCGAATTACTAGTTCAATGAAAAAAAGTGAAACCTAAGAGTTTTCTATGACATTTTTATAGACAAAACTGTAATGCGATAAAGACACGCGTAACAATTTTGAGCTTTTCACTTCCTGTTTCGCCATCAAGTTTAGTAGTGAAGTAAACTTATGAGCGATCTAACAACTGTTTCATTTCGTAGAGAATAGTTTAAAAATTCTTCTGTTTAAGATTATCACAGCTGGATTGTTTTCACAAAAATACTTCGTTCACTCAAATCACTCATCAAGCCGTTGATACTACTGTAGTATATCAATTGTGCTTGTAGAATCTAACATTTGTCAACGTATGTATTGTCCTAAAACTCGTTGATTTGATCTTCATATAGCGGATAGTACTAATCAAGTATGTTTGTACATGACTCACTTTAATTTCGAAACATAGTCAACTCTAGGAAATAATTCATGTCAAACGTGAATTAAAATGTTGTACCGGATGTTGTTATTCTGCTTGCCGTGATAGATGTTCGCAAGAGGTAGCTATTGAATCACTTCCGGAAACTGTGATAGGCTTTGTTAAACAAGAGTATGTAGAAACAATCATAAATAAAAAACCAAACACTCACACATTCTTATTTCTTGTAAATACAGATGTAGCGCTTGGCGTATGAGTTATGTCCTCAAGGATGCTACAGGAAATCCTATATTGACTATTGTTGGTCCGAGACGTATATGTGACGGTCCATATCCTGAATGATGTGAAAATAAAGCTACAGTAAGACTTCTCAAGTTCATGCAAAGCAAAAGAAAACAAAGAATATTCTTCGATGTAGTTATATGGTACTGATAGAACAACAGAAACAGGCGCTATTCATAAGAAATATCGTGGATTTATTGCTGAAGCAATGACAACTGCTGATACATGTGCTATTTAAGGTATCATTAAAAATATTTCATTATTAACAGTGATTAAAATTACTTTTCTCTACTATATAGTACTTGTTGATTTGGATGTAAAAATGAAAGCCGTCGCACTCGGCGCATTATTTTTAATCGTAGATTTTTCCTATTTGTTTTTTTTATCAAGCAAATTATGTGTCTTCTTAGGGTTTTGCTAATTTCTCCGAGCCACCAAGACGCTAGACACCTGATCGTATAGTCTTTTTTTTCTGCTTTGAATAATGCCTTTTCAGCTAATGAATATATCAATTAATCATTGTGAATCATAACATATGTAAATATTTTGTTTCTCAATAAATGACTTGTTCTTGTCTTCAATATTCAGCAACGCTTTATTAAAAATAATCATGATTAATTTTAAAATATTGTGTTTAGCCTAGGAAAAAATCCACGTTTTCCTAAATATAAAAATGCTGCCGATTAGTTTTATGCAGCATATGCTTTTTCTCTTCGTAAAAATCTTACACAACTATTGACACCCTCAATACATTGCAAGGGAAAATCTACTAAATTTTAGCAGAGTACGCAATTATTAATAATCGGAAATCACTAGTAAAAGGACTTACTTCCTGGCATAAACAGGAAACAATACGATCACTGTCTTTGTTAGTAATTTTGCTTTACTTACGTTGTTCCGAAAAGTTCAGAAAATAGCAGGACGTTGCAAATACGAATATATCGATCATTATGATATTGGTTTGAATTTCCAACGATTTTCTGAAGTATGGCAACTGAAAATAACGTCTGTGCTGCCAATTCGAACGCCCAAGCCGTTCACTTCTTGGAATGATAAAAGATTGCTAAATACGTCGACGTGTGCCAAACAAAGAATGGAGTGATTCACTGCTTTTGTTGGGTACAATGTTTGGAAATTTTCTAACGTTTTGACAAGTAGTTGCCTGTGCGAGTAGAGAATTTGAATAATTTTTGCATTCAGCATCTGGAATATAGAAAAGAATAGATGATTTTAGCTATAGCATACATCAGTGAAGAAAGAGGACGAATCAATCATGCCTATAAAAGCGTATGCTTTTTTTCTTGAAAACTTTGCAAGCAGGATCTCGTTCTTCTAAATTTAGCCAGTACAGTGGAATGAATCTGTTCAATTCTATAGAATAAATCTCAATAAGATCGGCTATTTGATTGATCGGAGCTGAAAGATAAACGAAACACAAAACAGGCAAGAAAAAGAATATTTACCAATTTAGCATTACTAAAATATTTGGTAGAAATCGTTGATTGTGCTTTTCTATGTCCAGACAAGGAAGTCCATCGCAATTTTTCGACCACAAAATATCGTTGTATAGTACCCCTTATACGATAGCCCGTTTTCTCTTCTTTCAAGCGACTGATAGAAGCGTGAAATGAACTGAAAACAGCACGATTAACCAAATTTATAAACGCTCGATAGTTTCCCTTACTTGTCGTGTATGAAGTTTCCATTTGTGTTCAAGGACTATTAATAATATATATTAGGTTTGTCTGAAACAGCGAAAAAAATAGAAATAACAGATGCAACATGTCAAAGAATAGAGAGATATGAGCGGATCGACAACGCACGTCAAATTTATCACGTAATCTTTTGATAAGCATAGTCAACAAGAATGATATTTCCAGTCTCTATTGAAGCGAACTTGAATTATATATATGAGCAAGATGTCATAGCAGCAAACATATTTGCGTAGAATGAAGTTTTTAATTA